GACTATGTGCGTTCCTCTAAGTCTTCCTACCAATATGACCAAGTTGCGAAAACAAGGTCAAACAACCTCTGTATATTTTCCTTCATATTTTATATCACCTCCAAAGAAATCGACATACAAAAGTTAACTGAAACTGCTTTCATTGCCTATAATAATACAATTATCATGTTCTTTTCGTGATTTAAGGTTGGGCGATTATCAGGTGACTTCGGAATTGAATGGGTTTTATCCACCTATTGTGAACGACCATACTGTGGACTCTTCTGCCTATTGCGACTCTGACAAAACAAATCTTCAGCTAGCCAGCTTCTTGCCCGCCACATTGGAATTTTACCGTCTATATGCAGAGCTTGTTCGTTCTCTTTCTTCATCTTTTTCCACCAACCAGTCGAATCCATTGGCCCACTCTCCATCTACCCGATCCTCTTCTTCGGCTAATCTCGAAGCTTTGGTAGCTGTGGCTGCCGTTGCGGCTGCATATAGAATGGCCCCATCAGAACCATCTGATCATAAGTCACTTCCATTTTCTAATCAAGGCCCGATTACTTCCGAAACTATACCATCTAAAATTTCAGAGGTTGCTTCCTTGGAGCCAATAGGAGCCAATAAAAATGAATTATCTGAGTTAAACTTCTATCGCTGTGGCGAAAATAAACGACCTAGGTCTATACTTGATGGCAATAAAGTCAAAGAGGAAAAGGATATTATGCTGGCTAATGAAGATGAAAAACAAAATGAAAATAAAATGGAGTCACAACTCAAATCAACGGATCTATTTGATTCACCGGTTATACGTAAAGCCCTCTTGCAAGCATTTTCTGCAGCGCGAGCTGTCCTAGAAGAGGAAAAGTTCCAACTTCCTTTATCCATCCCCTTAGTAATATCTCAAAATTCTCATTCTCTAAATGCAGGTCAAGCCTCTTTGAAACCGTTTGATCTCTTATCGCCTTCCTCTGTACCTGAGTCAAATCTATCTGGTACGTGGCCCCTATACCGGCCTGGAGGCTCAGCTATATGCATGGATGTGCTAAAAAGAGTGGATAGTCCAAACGATCTCCAAACTTCATTATATGCTAATTCGGGTAACTTTTTATCAATTGGCCTTTTATTTTCACTTTCTTTGATCTATTTTACCTTTATTTCAGCACAGAGCTCATGACAATTATTTAAAAATATTTTAATGAAAGTTGGGTTTAGATGAATCTATTGATCTATAATTGTTTATTTTACTTCCATTTCGAATGTAAGTGTTTCGTGTTGAGAATGGGGGGTCGATGTCACTGAAAGATAAGGACTGATTCCTCTTGACCAGCTGTCGATTGACTTTGCTAGAACAGTCTTTTTGACGCCATTTCCGAGGCAATCTCCTTAGATTCCAGTGAAAACGTGCTAAGCCTTCGTCCGTCATATTACGAGCATCATTCGAGCAGGGTGTCATCTTTATAACCGTATTGAAGCTAACCACCTCTCTCGTTTCGGAGGTAAATGAGGGAGAATGTTTCATTGACTGAGTTAACTTGAAGGTCGTATTAAATTTAAACAGCTGTATTCACCACGAGAATCGGCCATCATCTTCTGTTATGATCGACCTACTAATATCTCCATTATGCACTTTCATACGAAATTAAAGTCTCCTCAAGAGTGTGATCGTAAGAGACTCGGCGAAACCCAGTTACCCCTAGTACTTACAAGCACATGATTGCTTAATTGACAATCCGGCTATAAAAGGGGAGTTGGGGAAGTCTGACTTGCTTTGAATGTCGCATCTGCCCTGTAAATCACTGACATCATTTGCCGTAAAGTGTAGCATAATATCTCCCCGATACTTAAGACCCGGCATCGAATAGAGGTTTCTGATTAAACCATAATGCAACGTCCAAATTACTATCCACTCATGGTGGGATAGCCTATGGTGAAGCAAGGTGGAATGAAATTCATTCTCATTGTGGAAACACTCAACTATCGGTTCTTGACAAATAATTTCTATCTACTTAGGGTGAATAAGCTCTAATCTGGGTAGCAGTTTTCAAGGCTATCAGAGATTTTTAAATTAAAGCTTATTAGTCCTAGGTCGATTAAGGTGATTTTTCACGAACTAATAGTTGAATTTTTCCACAATAAGAATGAATTTCATTTAACCTTGCTTCCCAAAAGGCTATATCATCATGGGTTGGTTGCAATTTCGACCTCGCATTGTCGTCTAATCGGCACCCCCAGGGGGATTCGATACTGGGCCTTAAGTATTGTGGCGATGTTACGCTACACTCCACGGCCACGGGTGCTTCATCCACAGCAAGCCGGACCTCTTCCAACTTACAGTTTATAGCT